TTTGTTGCTTGGAGGGGGCGCGAATGCAGAACGACAGTGTTTTTCAAGGATTTCAGGGTTCTTTTCAGGTAAGTGTTTTGTTTGTTTGTTTGTTTGTTTGTTTGTTTGTTTAGACCTTGTCTTGTTTTGTTGAAGTTTTCTCGGGGTCTCAGCGGGATGGTGGTCCCAACACGTTCTCTCATTTGCTTTTTCATCGTATTTCTGTCATTGCTCTTAATTGCTAAGTTTTTGATCGATCTTAACTGTAAAGGAATAGGGAAGGAGATCGGGAACGGAGCGCGAATGCCAGAAATTTCAGATTTTCATGTTTTTCGGGGACTCACGGGGATTGTTTCTCACAAGAAGCTTGTAGGGTCTCAAAGGGATGGACGTCACGAGACGTTTTCGTTATTTTCCCCAGTCAGAGCTTACCTCTGTAGGGGTCCTAGCGGATTCATATGGTTAGGTGAGGTTCGTCGCCGATTTCGGGGGCCAGACTGGGTGCCCGGGTGCCCGGGTGCCTGGGTGCCCGGGAGTCCGGGTGCCCGGGGGTGCCTGGAGGTGCCCTGGGGTGCCCGGAGGTGCCCAGGGGTGCCCACCCTATCGCCCTATAGCCCTATAGCCCTTATAGCCCTATAGTCCTATAACCTTGTAGCCTTATAGCCCTATAACCCTATAGCCCTACAGCCCTATAGCCCTATAGCCCTATAGCCCTATAGCTCTATATGCCTACAGCCCTACAACCCTATAGCCCTACAGACCTATAGCCCTATCGTCTTATAGCCCTATAGACCTATAGCCCTAAACATATTATGATTGTTTTTGTATCCCGTCTCATTAATTGTACGTTGTCTTCTTGTTTTTGATTATCATTTTTTGTTTTGCAATTGCAAGGGAACATAAAGAGATCAGGAAGGAAGTACGAATGCCGAAAACCTTTGATTCTTATGGCTTCCAGGGGTCTTACACGGATTTTCTCGTTTTTGTTGTTGGATGGTTTTCTAGGGGTCTCACAGCATGATGGTCCCAAGAAATTTTCAGATTCATTTAGAAGTCTGAACTTCGCTATTGTGTTGATTCTGATTTTTTCTATTGTTTTAAATCGTACGTTCTCTTATTGACCCTACTTGTCAGGGAATATATAAGGATATCGGGAAGGGAGCCCGCATTCCGAAAACCTGTGCTTATTAGGGCTTCTAGGGGCCTTAAAAGGATTAGTAGCTTTTTTTTTGTTGGTTGGTTCTGTGATCCGTTGGCTTTTTATGGGTCTCACAGGGATGGTGGTCCCTAGACGTTCTCCTATTGTTTTCTAGTGTCTTTTTGTTTTAACTGTCCATGTTATTGCTGTTGAGTATTTTTGTACTGGTTCTACTGTTTAAGGGAATAGGGAGAAGATAGGGAAGGGAGCGCGAATGCCGATCATCTTTCATTTTTAGGGCTTCCAGGCGTCTTACAGGAATGCATTTTTGGTTGTTGTGTTCTTTTTGGGCTTTAATGGACTCGCAAGGATGGTGGCCCCAGACGTGCTCTTATTGTGTTCACATGTAATAGGTCCTACTGCTTGTAACTTGACATTTGACCACTGTGTCTTGTACATTTTCGTCGTTGTTGCTTCTACTTGTAAAGGAATGGGGACGGAGATGGAGACGAGAGCGCGAACGCATACATTTTTGATTTTAAATGGTTTCGGGGGTCGTGCAGGGCTTTTTATTTTTTGTTTTTGGTGTGTGTGTGTGTGTGTGTGTGTGTGCAGGTTTTTGAAGGGTCTCACAGGGATGGTGGTCCCATGACTTTTTCATCTTACTTTTAGGTGTAACTCGTTTTATTGTTTGAATATGCAACGTACCATGCTGTGCTTTAAATCAGATTCTTTTTACTTGCGGGCGCAGCCAGTACTTCGATTTCTGGAAAGTAGACTGACTGATTGACAGACTGACGGAACTGACAATTGAATCACCAACGCCGTTAGATGGCAGTTCTATTTACGTGGGTGAGGATATCTCGCTGGCTGTTTTAAGTCAGGGAGTTGAGGATATTTCGCTGGCATTTTTAAGCCAGGGGGGGGGGACGATATTTCGCCGGCAATGTGTAGCGACTGGTGTGAGGATATGTCGCTGGCAGTTTTAGGCCATGGTGGCGAGGATTTTTCGCTGGCAGTTTCAAACGAGGGTTGTGGGGATATTTCGCTGGCAGTTTTAAGAGAGTGCGGTGAGGATATTTCGATGGCCGTTTTAAGCGAGGGGTGTGAGGACAGTTCACTGGCAGTTTCAAACCAGGGGGTTGAGGATATCCTCGCTGGCAGTTTCGGCGAGGGGCGTGAGGATATTTTGCGGACTGTTTTAACCAAGGGGTGTTGAGATATGTCGCTGGCAGTTTTAAATCAGGGCGCTGAGGATATTTCGCTGGCAGTTTTCAGCCATGATGGTGAGGATATTTCGCTGGCAGTTTTAAGTGAGGGCGGTGAGGATATTTCGCTGGCAGTTTGAAACGAGGGCGGTGACGATAGTTTAGTGGCAATTTTCAGGATCTTTCGATGGCAGTTTTGGCCAGGGGCGTGAGGATTTTTCGCTGGCAGTTTTAGGCCAGGGGTGGAGGATATTTCGCTGGCAATTTTTAGGGATGAGTGTGAGGATATTTCGCTGGCAGTTTAAGTGAGGGCGCCGAGGAGACTTCGCTGGCAGTTTTAAGCGAGGAGTGCGACACGCTGTCAGTTTTAAATCACGGCGGTGAGGATATTTCGCTGGCAGTTTTAGATTAGAGGGTGATGGTATTTCGCTGGCAGTTTTAAGTGAGGGGTGCGAGGATATTTAGCAGGCAGTTTTAAGCGAGGGCGGTGAGGATATTTCGCTGGCGGTTTTAGGCCAAGGGTGTGGGGACAATTCGCTGGCAATTTTAAGCTAGGGCTGTAGGGATATATCGCTGACAGTTTTAGGCCAGGGGCGTGGGGATATGTCGCTGGCAGTTTTGAGCGAGAGCGGGGAGGATTCTTCGCTGGCAGTTTTAAGCCAGGGAGTTGAGGATGTTTTCACTGGCAGTTTTAAGCAAGGGGTGTGAAACGCTGTCAGTTTTAAATCACGGCGGTGAGGGTATTTGGCTGGCAGTTTTAAACCAGAGTGTGATGATATTTCGCTGGCAGTTTTAAGTGAGGGGTGCGAGGATATTTAGCTGGCAGTTCTAAGCGAGGGTGGTGAGGATATTTCGCTGGCAGCTTTAGGCCAAGGGTGTGGGGATAATTTGCTGGCAATTTTAAGCTAGGTGTGTAGGGATATTTCGCTGACAGTTTTAGGCCAGGGGCGTGGGGAATGTCGCTGGCAGTTTTGAGTGAGGGCGGTGAGGATTCTTCGCTGGCAGTTTTAAGCCAGGGGGTTGAGCAACTTTTCGCTGGCAGTTTTAAGCAAGGGGTGTGAGGATATTGCGCTGGCAGTTTTAAGTCAGGGCGGTGAGGATGTTTGGCTGGCAGTTTTAGGCCAGGGTGGAGAGGATCTTTCGCTGGCAGTTTTAAGCGAGGGGCGCTGAGGATACTTCACTGGCAGTTTTCAGCCAGGGCGGTGAGGATCTTTCGCTGGCAGTTTTAGGCCAGGGGGGCGGTGAGGATATTTTGCTGGCAGTTTTAAGCCATGGGGGCCCTGCCTTGCCAAGCCGAAGGCTACGCATCCAGCGCGGTTCTGCGCTCGTATATCTGCTTGCCCCTTGGCGTGGGGCTGGCGGGGGGCCAAGGGGCGAGCTGTGCGTTGTTTGATTTTAAGTGTAAGGCCTTTGTTGATTTGGGTTCTTAAGGGGCTCACATGGGTTATTGCGAAGGTCTTACGGCCTGTGCCGCCGACCTTGAAGGGCGACGTCGACGACGACGGCGGTGGTGGCGGCGGCGACGACGACGACGCTGACGTGGGCCCGAGTCCTCAGGGATGCTTCTTGGGGTCGCTTGGGAAGGCTCTCGGGAGCCTCTGGGGAGGAATTTGGGGGTCTCTTGGGAGCCTCTTGGGGGCCTCTTGGGTGGCTTTTTAAGGTGTCCTCGGGGCCTCTTGTGGGCTTCTTGGGGCCTCCTGGGAACCTCTTGGGGCCTCCTGGGGGGGCCGAGGGCTCGAAGTGTCCGGTCGGGTTCCCCGTCCAGGCACGCTCTTGGAGCCGTCTTGGGGGCCTCTTGGGCCGTCTTGGGGGCGTTTTGGTTCTTAAGGGGCTCACATGGGCATGCAATTTTTTATTAGTATTCATTCTTGTTTTTGGTTTTTAACTACACAAGAAAAGGTGTTGTAGGGGTCTCACAGGGATGGTGGGCCCAAGGCGTTTCCCTATTGTTTTTAGTTGTTTTTTTCTTTGTGCTTGTGATTGTAATGTTTCCTTGTTGTTTGTTTTCCACTGCAGGCGCCCTTGCAACAACACTGCGTCAACATCTACATCAATGTATACATACATATAAAGATATATGCATTCATTCCTGCGTTTCAACTCTTGGACTTGCATTTGTGAGGATGGGGGCCTCGTGCGGGAGAAGGATACAACGTATACGGGGGGAAGAGTAGGGAGGATGTGGTAGGTCCCTGTGTGTGTGTGGGTGGGTGGGGTGGGGTGGGGGGGCGGGGGTACCATTTATATATTTATATGTGTTTGTGTGTATATATATGTATATATATGTATATATACATATATGCATACACATGTTATGCCGTACATGTTGTTGAGCACTCCATGTAGTGCAATACATATGGAACATTCCATGTGGTACAACCAATATACGTGGTGCAATCTTTTTGGTGCAGTCTACGTTGTGCGCTTCATGTTGTGTAATGCATGTTGTGGAGTATACATTGCGCAATAGATGCTGCGCAGTCTATGTGGTACAACACATGATCTGTGGTACACTCTATGTCTGCCGTATTTGTGGGCTAGCCATGCTAGCCAACATGTAATGCAATCTATGTTGAGCAATTTATGTGGTGCAGTCTATGTGGCACAACCTACGTTGTGTAATTTTTGTTGTCTAATCTTTACACAGTGTATTTTGTGCAGTTCATGTTGTACTATATAGATGTGGTGCAATCTATGTGTTGCGATCGATGTGGTGCAATGTAGGTGGTGGTACCCAAGTGTTGCGCAATATACGTTCTACAAGATAGGTGAGGCAGTATATGTTGTGCAATATATTCAATGTATATATAGTACAACCGATGTTGTGCAATCTATGTTGTGCAATCGATGTTGTGCAATCTATGTGGTGCAATCTATGTGATGCGGTCTATGTGGTGCAGTTCTTGCTGCGGCGACGATGCGGCGACGGCGGCCACGCAACCGCCAGACCGACCGTCAGGCCCAGACGACGGGCGGCGACGAGGCGGTTGCGAAGGGGGCGACGGCGGGCACGGCGCCGCCAGACCGGGACACAGGTTCAGTGTTTTACTGAGCAGGTCGGAATTTTTTGAAGTGGAAGTGCTGTTTGTCGGCGGCGAGCGAAGGGACGAAGTGGGAAGGAAGAGGCCTTTTTCAGAAGGCGGCAGGACTTCTCAGAAGCCCTTGCGCTTCCTGAGCAATTTTCTGTGTTTTCGGGGAAGGCTTAGGACGCTTTTCAGAAGGCCGGGGGACTTCCGAGCCTTCTGGGAATGCCCGCCCCTTCTCACTTTCCTCCCGGGCTCGCCGCCTATGTTTGGGCTTTTTGAGGATTGAACTGAACGGCCGTGCAGGCTGAATACCAGAAAGGCGCAAGACACGGAGGGGTGCCGTCAGCCCAGGCTCCCGTGGTGGGAGAGTGGGCAGATTTAATTTTTCGGTGGGGAATGTATGGAGTGTTGCCTACGGGGTGCGTTTTATGAAACGCGACGTATAGGTCGCTACGAAGCCATCGGCAGGTTCACTAGGGACTCCTTTTCAGTGCTTTGCCTGCCCAGATTTTCATCCCATTCTTTTTGGTGTTGCCTTCTGTTTTCATGTGCGGATGCTGGCTTGTGCACGATTGCCCTTTCTCTTGCTTCGCGACGGTCGCTGTTGTCAACAGCTCCGCCGTATCCTGCTGTGCCGTGCTGGGTTGTCAGAATGCAGAAATGGTGCCTTGCTGTGCCGTGCCGCGCTTGTTCTTCATGGTGAAACAGATGTGCCGTTCCGTGCCGTGCCGTGCCGTGCTCGGTCCGCAAGCGCACCCTGGCCTTCCGAGGCACACCAGTGCGCCGTGCCGTAGATCGCGTTCGGTCTGCAGGCCGCGACAGCTCTGCCGTGCCGTGCGGTGCAGCGATTGGTCTGTCTGGAAACGTCGCGTCCGCAGAGTTGACGGGGTGAGTTTAGGACCATCGGCGTCACCCCAAAATACTTCTACTATGTGTGCGTCGCCCCCCCAGGGGCGACGCGCGCACCGAGAAATCTTATAGTATATGCGTCGTGGCGGGTGCTTGCTGGCCACACTGCTCGGGAAACGATATACTACAAGATGGGTATACTATATGTTCGGGTCGGACGCGCGCCTCCAAGGCGGACAAACAGTAGTAGTATGTCTTTGTGCGTCCCAGACCCGAGCTGCTCATCCGTGCCCCGCCCTCTTCAGTCCGCGCGTCTGCTTTTTTTGCTGCGCTTTTGCGCCGTGCTGTGCGGTCAGTGTGCGCCGCGCTTCTCCCGTCCGGCTCCAGGGATTTTTGAAGGATGCGGGTCTTTGTGAGCCCCGCGGCGCCGTCCTGTGGAGGGTCTCCCCGGGGTCTCGTTTGTGATTCGCATGGTTCACGGACGTCAGCCGGATGTGTTCGTGTCTCCTCCTGGGCGGGCGGTTTGGAACAGAGCCCTGGCTCGAGACACACACGCACTTACACATGCTGATTTGTGAGTGGATATATATATATATATATATATATATATATATATATATATGTATATGTGTACACCTAGATGCACACATGCACACCGTCTGATGTAAATATGGTGCACTTGCATGCATCGCTCGTCCCCTGGGCCGCAATACGCGGCCCAGGGGGCGAGTGGGAGAGAAGACTCGCCCCATGTGCCGTCGGGGGCTTTGTGCAATGCCCCCGCACTCGCGCCAGTGCTGCCGAGGTACTCGTTGTGGCACGTCGGGATGACCGTCCTCTGGTTGGTATGGATCGTGGCAGTGAGGAAAAACTTCACACATGCTTTCGGAGGTGCTTGCCGCGCTGGCCTCCAGTCGGGGAAACGGACGACTCGAGTACGCCGGAACTCGGGTTTGCCGACGCTTTTCGACGGGCGCGTCGTGGATTTGACGGTCCAGTTTTCGTGGGATGTTTGCAGTGGGAGCACGCGTCAGATTTCAGACTGGGCCATCGTCATTTCCATGACGGCGCCGTCAGGCCAACCCGAGTCCCCCGAACTCGAGTCGTACGCCTCCCCGATCCAGGAGACTGTGCTTCAGTGCCTTGTGCCATCCAGGATCACCTGCGTGGCCTCGGCCTCCTTCCTGGCGAAGAAGCTCGGCCTCCAGCAGACCCGCCCGCGCGGGTCCAGCACGGCGGCGCCCACGCCGACGGGCAGACCGGCCACCGACCCGTGCGGGGTGGCGCAGATTGCACTGAG